CGTTGCGAAAAATTGATAAAAAGGAACTTAACAAAAGTGGCGAATATTTCCAGTTTGAATATGAACAAATATATTATAGTTCGAATTTTTAATTTATTGTATAATTATATAATTTTTATTATGGAATTTAATTATAATTATAGAATTTTTAATTTATTGTATAATAAATAAAAATTGTACATCACAAGAATTTGAGAATTAATTGAGAAGAAGAAGAAAAAATAAATAAATAAATAATAAATAAATAAAAAATAAATAAAAATAAATAAATAATTGAGAAAAAGAAAGTTTAACAAAAGTAGCGAATATTTCCACTTTGAATATGAATAAATATATTATAGTTTGAATTTTTAATTTATTGTATAATTATCGTTGCGAAAAATTGTAGGGATTTGTAATTGAGAAGAAAAATATTTCCATTTTGAACAAATATATTATAGTTATCGAATTTTTAATTTATTATATAATTATCATTGCGAAAAATTGTACATCGCAAGAATTTGAGAATTAATTGAGAAGAAGAAAAATAAATAAATAAATAAATAATAAATAAATAAAAAATAAATAAAAATAAATAAATAATTGAAAAGAAAAAAGTTTAACAAAAGTAGCGAATATTTCCACTTTGATATGAACAAATATATTATAGTTTGAATTTTTACTTTATTGTATTATTGTTTTAATAATTTTTAATTATTATTATAATTATCGTTGCGAAAAATTGTAAGAATTTGTAATTGAAAAGAAAGAAATCTCAACAAGAGCGATGAACATTTCCACTTTGAACAAATATATTATAGTTATCGAATTTTTAATTTATTGTATAATTATCATTGCGAAAAATTGTACATCACAAGAATTTGAGAATTAATTGAGAAGAAGAAAAAAAAATAAATAAATAAAAAATAAATAAAAATAATTGAGAAGAAGAAAGTTTAACAAAAGTAGCGAATATTTCTATTTTTAATATGAATAAATATATTATAGTTTGAATTTTTAATTTATTGTATAATTATCGTTGCGAAAAATTGTAGGGATTTGTAATTGAGAAGAAAAATATTTCCATTTTGAACAAATATATTATAGTTATCGAATTTTTAATTTATTGTATAATTATCATTGCGAAAAATTGTACATCGCAAGAATTTGAGAATTAATTGAGAAGAAGAAAAAAAATAAATAATAAATAATAAATAAATAAAAAATAAATAAAAATAAATAAATAATCGAGAAGAAGAAAGTTTAACAAAAGTAGCGAATATATCCACTTTGAACGTGAACAAATATATTTATTGTATAATTATCGTTGCAAAAAATTGTAAAAATTTTTAATTGAGAAGAAAGAAATCTAACAAGAGCGATGAACATTTCCACTTTGTACAAATATATTATCGGTTACGAACAAATAGTTATCGAATTTTTAATTTATTGTATAATTATCGTTGCGAAAAGCGACGTATATTTTCACTTTGAACGTGAACAAATATATTATAGTTATCGAATTTTTAATTTATTGTATAATTATCGTTACGAAATTCAACAAGAGCGACGAACATTTCCACTTTGAACAAATATATTTATTGTATAATTATCATTGCGAAAAATTGTATCGCAGGAATTTAATTGAGAAGAAGTTCAACAAGAGCGATGAACATTTCCAAACTTTAAATATGAATAAATATATTATAGTTATCGAATTTTTAATTTATTGTATAATTATCGTTGCGAAAAATTATACATCGCAGTAATTGAGAAGAAGAAAATTCAACAAGAACGACTTTGAAGGAAGTTCATTGAACGATCCAATAACAATGATGTTTCCACGGAGAAAATAAAAATCTCCTGGAACAAGTCGTCACGTTCAAGATCCACTCTCCATTCTTCTCGCGCGCGCAAAAAAAAAAAAAAAAAAAAAAAGAAAAAGAAATGGCGGCAGGGCGACTTTCTTGCGACATACGTGCCCTTCTCCTCTCGCGTGTTCCAAGCAAGAAGAAGAGGAAGAGGAAGAGGAAGAAGAAGAGGAAGAAGAAGGGGCTAGCTAAAGGAAAATGCAACCACGGGTCCCAGTGGGACGTGGTTCGAAGCCCGAAATTGATATGTATTCCGCGGCAAGGCGAGCCCAATCTATCGCGGGTCAAGCAGTCGGAATTTTAAGCGCGATATACGCCGTTCTATATATCGAGATTCTCCCCTCTCCCCCTCCAGACGTCGATATGGACGTCTGATATAAGGGGTGGCTCGAATCGAACAATGTGTATAGGAAAGATTTTTATAGGAAAATATATTAAATGTATAAAATATATTTTAGAAAAATTGGTTTTCTTGGAAAATTACGAGTACAATGCTTATCGTCTGATCTGTGATCGATCTTAATTTAAGAATTAATCGAGGGCACAGAATTCAAAAATGGAATTTAAAAACACCCCTTTCTCTATAAAATAATTTCAAATAGCTGTATCATTATAATGAGAATTTTATTCCCAAAAAAAAAACAACTGTTCGATGAGCTGATCAAAGACTGTCGATAATTTCAAAAATCTATATAAAACGAAGGAAGAGCACTCCTTTCTCAAAAATCTCTTAATAAATCGATCAAAAATTCCTTGATAATTTTAAATATCTGTATCACGAGGCAACAAAAAATTTACAGAATCTCTTTCTCAAAAATTTCTTGATGAGAAATCAAAGATACAAAAAATTCACAGAAAAAGCATATATTTCAAAAATCTCTTAATAGATCGATCAAAAATTCCTTGATAATTTTAAATATCTGTATCACGATGCAACAAAAAATTTACAGAATCTCTTTCTCAAAAATTTCTTGATGAGAAATCAAAGATACAAAAAATTCACAAAAAAAACATATTTTTCTCAAAAATCTCTTAATGTATCGATCAAAGAATATTTATTAATTTCAAATACTTATATCACGATATAATAAAAAAATTCCTTGAGAGAAGTTCAATCGAAGATAGAATTATTCACAAATCAACTTTTAAGTACCTGTATCACGATACAAAGAATTCACAGAAAACCCCTTTCTCAAAAACTGCTCGACGAGCCAATCGAAAATATAAAACACAATTCACAAATCAATAATTTCGACTGTATGACACGATAAATTCCTTTCCAAAAAGATAGAACGCTATTCACAAATCAATAATTTCGATTTGTAAATATCACACGATAAATTGACGAAAAGATAGAACACTCACAATCAATAATTCAAAAACATTTTCATAAACATAATTCATAAACATTCACAAATCAATAATTTCGATTTGTAAATATCCTGTATCACACGATAAATTGACGAAAAGATAGAACACTCACAATCAATAATTCAAAAACATTTTCATAAACATAATTTATAAACATTCACAAATCAATAATTTCGATCGTATGACGCGATAAATTCCTTTCCAAAACGATAGAACGCTATTCACAAATCAATAATTTCGATTTGTAAATATCCTGTATCACACGATAAATTAATGAAAAGATAGAATACTATTCACAAATCAATAATTTCGACTATATGACGCGATAAATTCCTTGCCAAAAAGATAGAACGCTATTCACAAATCAATAATTTCAATTTATAAATACCCTGTATCACACGATAAATTAATGAAAAGATAGAATACTATTCACAAATCAATAATTTCGATTTATAAATAGCCTGTATGACACGATAAATTGTCAAAAAGATAGAACACAAGTCAATAATTTCGACTTTTGTATACCAGTTTTAATCACCTCTCACCTAAAACGTTGAAAGAGAAAGCCGTTCCAACCCCGTACAACCCATAACGTTCCACGAGTTGCGAAACTTACGAGGACGTAAAGTTCCCCCTCCCCTCCCCTTTGTACGCGGGCTGATCGCGCGCGCGGGAGGAAGGGCGGAACGGTTGGTGGGGGACGCCGCGAAGGGACGCCGCTGGTCATCCTCGGAAAATTGAATTTCGTCCCTGAGGGCCGGCCTGGATGAGGTATGCTGACAGTTGGAAAATTTGCGTTTAACCGGGTGCAATCTTGCCGACTCCACGGCGTATCCTGGATTTCTCTTTCGTTTTTCGGAGACGATAGACGCGTTTAAGTCAAGGGGATGGTCATTCGGTCGATTTTAAGTAAGTCGTTCGAGAGAAAATTTTGAAAATATATTGTAAGAGGGGCGAATTTAAGCGTATTTAAAATCTGTTTCACGATACGCTTGTTGGAACACGCGTTCCTTGGCACGATGGTTAAAAGATTGTATAAATAGAGTGAGATGTAAACATTGTTTAATTCTCGGCTGATAAAACAGTAATTGAAAATCTCTTAAGGGAAAAAGGATAAAAGAGGGATGTATACGTATTTGCATGATGCTTGCTATATTTTAAAATTCCAATAAGTTTAAAACAATAATAGCAATCTATAATACGTAGACGAGAAAAATTGAAAAGCAATATATATATATATATATGACACGTGGCAGCAAAATTAATTTCGTATTATTTAATTTTCATATTTCGATTTATCGATCGAAGGGATCTTTCGATTTCTTTGGTGTTTCAGAAAACAGGGTAATAAGAAAATTGATACGCATTTCTCTCGCGTTGCGTCCCAATTTTTAAAACACAGGTACCGTTACACGGGAAGTAAAAAATTAATCTTCAGTCGCTTAGAGATAAGGGAGAAAACTTTTTCCCGTATTTTTAGCAAAAAAGTATTGACTAATGACGCCGGGTATGCGCATGCGCATGCCCGCCATTCTTCGCTCATTTGCAATGCAACACAGATAAGCGTGCGTCTTAAATTAAAATCGATATTCCGTTTACCATTATTAAAATTTTTACGCCGAAAAAAAAAAAGGGCGTAATCTTAATCGCTTGACGTTAATATATCGACGCGAATATTAATTTGCATGCGAATAACCATGCCAAGTCGAGTGGGCAAAAAAACCAAACAAATTTCTTTTGTTTCCAGCAAATGGTGAAAAAAAATTTTCGGTTACTCACCGTGTGGCACCCATCCATGGTGGCACCTGTCGCAGTACCGGATGTGCCTCTTCCCCGGCGTGAACGAGTCGCACGAGCATCCATTCACCGTGCACTTGATAGACTGAAACCGAGCACAAGAAACAATAATTACCAGGGGCCAGGCTTAAACGTTTCGTTTCATATTGTTCATTCATCGTTACGATCGACGAAATATTACTTTCTTACACTTATAATTACACAACGGTAAAATATATAACATTTCAATTACGAAAGAAAGAAAGGAAGGAATACATTCGTATATATACTTGTTACTCACTTTCAATCATTTTTCTTCTATTTTTTTTTTTTTTTTTTGAACATTTTAACCATCATCCTTTTTCTTTTACAATTTTTATAAATTGTATTCTCATAAAGAGTTTCCACGAATTAAGTTGATTATAACAAAATGCATCGATTGGACGATTTAAATCACCTCTCAGTATCGTAATCTTTGCCTTGAAAATTTCCAACCCTCCTATTTCACGCCTAAACTAAATCGAACCAAAGTACCAAAGCTGAAACTGCTCTGATCGTTCGTTACGCGAGGTAGGTGTACTATAAAGGGGAGAGGGGACGTCTCTTTCGAAGGGGGTGCGCGAGATACGGTTCGAGGCGGAATTTTTATACGACTTTTCAGCCGAAGGGAAAATATATATGTACAGTTTGGATTAAAGGATCGTTGCCACGGGCGGGTAGGAAGAAAAAGGAGAGGGGAGGGGGTGTGGTATTTCGAGTGACCGTTTGGCGTAACCCCGGAAGGGGGAAGAGCCGTAAGAAGGGGTGGACTTGGCCGGATTTTAAGGAACCGTGAATATTTTCCGCCCTTCGGCACGAAATTAACCCCTTGGGAGCCACCGTCCAATCCCCTCCCCCCCTCCTTTCTCTTCCTGAAACGAAGCTCTGGAACAGGGAGCTTCTACGCGGCGGACAAGTTTATTTTTTTTATTTTTTCCTTACTTACTTTGCCTCATGCCTTTGCAGCCATCTATGCAGTCGAAGAATGGGGAGGGGAGTGCTGCGATTCCTCTGATTCTATGTTTCACGCGTTAGAAAAGTTTGCATGGGAAAGGAGACGTAAGGTCGAGTTTATTAACACGTTCACTGTTTCCAACGAAATCTCCTTCGGGCTATGCTGGTATAATAAGCCAAGAATAATCATTTGTTTCCATCCTGTTACATTGCTGAAGCGCCTCTACATGAACACAGTTCGAATGTTTGCCGAGTGTAAGTGGTGTAACTTCTGTTAAAAATTCTTAATATACCGATTCGTTCCAATGTCGGAAAGAAAAATGGAAGAGTTATGTTAGAGTTAATCATATAACAACTTTTTGTCCAAATTCTCTTGACTAACCTTTATAAATAATTCTTTATAATATAAATAATTATATATAAATAATTATAAATAATTCTTTTGATAAACTATTTTTGTATTATATTTTTATAACGGTTACACTTTTATAACATTTCTGTAAGTAGTCGAATATGAGTGACGTGGCCCAATGAGAGCTATAACTCTCGAATATGGAGGAGTCAACGTGTTAAATGGACGCCGTTTCACGTTTCTTGAACAACGGATCTTGGATAAAATGTGTTTCTTGAGAAAGATGGTAGAACATGTTCTTTGTATTCATATACGTTTTATGTACGAGTGTTGATTGAAACGTTACATCAAAAATTCAGTTCAAAATATTATTATTAATTCTTTCGCTACGCACAGTGGTTCGATAAGGTTTAACTGGACGAAATTATTTTTTCGTCGATTTTGAGGTTTGTATGGAGATTTTTAGAAAATAATATTGCTTTTTATTATAATATAAAAAAATTAACATTCAATTAATAAAAAATGTATAGGAAAATAAATACGATATAACTTGAAATGAAATAGGAAAAAAAAATGAGAACAAAAGTACACGTTACATTGAAACTATTATTTCTTACATATTTGAAAATGAATATTTTGTCCATTTAATAAATTATTCGAACCACTGTCTGCGGTCTTCAAAGCGTTTAGAGCTAAGTCTTTCGTCCCAAGAAACGCTTTTTATTCATAACAATATACTCATAACTTTTCCAAGAACGTATTTAATTAAACGATTAAAATTAATATTTTTACACTACGCAACGCGATACTATAATATAATATTCTCTATTTTAAAATTTTTCGAACCACGTATAATCCAACATTAGTAGATCTCACATTGATATTACGCGAAATTTTATGGCGAGACAATGTTAATTGTGAGCACATGAATTTATCAAAAAATCTCAAACTACTCGATACGTAAAAAACGCCAATACCAAACTTAAAAAAAAAAAAAAAAGAAAATATTCCACCGTAATAATCTCACCGTCGTTGCCCAATTTAATGGGTTTTACGACCATCTTTCTCCAACAAAGAAACAGAGAAGGAAGAGGAAGGAGAGGGGGGTCCCATTTACCTATAACCACACGGCTCGTTTCTCCGTGGAGGACGAACGGAAAGGGAAAACACGTCGTGTATGTATGTATGTATGTATATATTAGCGTTATGACGTTACGCCGGCGTGTGCCGCTAATATAAAGACAAATGAAGCGACGAGCGCGCCACCATCTTCGGCCATGTGTCTTTATACCAGCCACATCCGTCCCCGCGGCGCGGCGTTGTTCGCGGAAAATGTTCTGTCGCCGTGGAACGGGCAAATTGTAGGATAGATTGGCCGACGAAAATTTAACCGCCGGCTAAAATTTTATTAGGCTCGCCGCGGGTTATTTATTCGGAGCGGAGCGACAAGATTATACGGCGATATTAGCGGTCGCTCGTGCCAAGGGAGATGGAGAGAGGGGAGGGGGGGAGAGGGAGGGGTAATGGAGGTGAAACAAAGTCCCTGCGAGTCGCTCTTTTTTCTCCTTTTTTTAAATATATATATATATATATATATATATATGAGACGCGTTGGAATTAGCTTTTTCACGAGTTAATTTAACTCGGTTCGGTATATACGATCGAAACGTGGCAACGTGGGGGACGTGAACGCGTAAGTTTTGTTTGCGTTATGCGGTTGTTATGTATTACGGAGGATTGGGGGGAGCGAGGTTAGGAAATTTGGCGTCTTTGGAAGATTTAATTTATTATCTTGGGAGAGGATTCGGATTGAATATTGTTTCGAAAGGAGAAATGCGAATTAATCGATCTTTCTAATCGTCAAAATAATCATCAAAATTAATAATACGTTGTTACAAGAGACGAGATTAATATCAAATAAGTATATAACGTAGCTAGAAAAAAAGAAAAGGAAAATGGCAATTTCGACGAGAAACAAAATTCGTAGATATTTCAATCTATTAAACGATTTGTGAAAGAATTATAGGAAAAGTTATCCTTTTTCCATTAGCCGGTGATTCAACCAATTAATCAGGCGAATCAGCCTCGTTTTTGAAAAGAAAAAAAAGATAAATTGATGAACTCGTCGGTTGGCTGGCAGCATCGTTACACGTCTAATCGAAAGATATACAGCCGCGAAAAATATATACAGAAGCTGTTCCTTAAACGGGGAGTATTAAACGAAGGAACGAGATGATAAACCGGGAACGGAGAGAGAGAGAGGGAGAGAGAGCTGGCAATAAATGTTTGGCGGCTCGTAAAAACGTTATTGCCTTCCTTACGCGACGATAGCGGAAAAAGATTTTGCTCGCTGACGATATGCAGAAAAGGATGCGGAGATCGAAAACTGATGTCCCTACAAAGAATTTTTGTCTTGTTAAAATTTTAATCAAAGGATTTTCGAAATTTATTATTCACTTTCGTTCACAATGGAAAAACGACAAAAGCGATTTTATGAAAATATTTCTCTGCCCTTAAAAAAAGAAAGATTCTTTTATCTATGAGAACGTATTATCATATTGTCAATTCTTAAAAGGAAAATTTTGCAACCCCTTCAGATCGTAAGAAGAATTTCTTAGCTATCATTTTTTTTTTTTTAATTAATATCATCTTGTAGATACCTCGAGAATCGCATCCCTTTAAAAAGCTTTATTATTCCAATCGAAATAATTATCCAAACCCTCTTCGTTCGATCAATCGTACTGAAATTACTACTCAAAAAAAAAAAAAGAAAGAAAGAAAAACTGACAGAAAATTTACATCGAAACGATCGATCTCTCGTCATTGCGAGATAATAAAAACGATTTCGGGACACGCGACCCCCGAAGCGTTCCAATCCTCTCCCTCTCCCTCTCTGCAACGGGATCGAACACGCGGGCAGAATTGTAATCCAAGCGAGGAACAAGCAACGATGGCTTGTTACAACGTATCAACGGACGATAATTAATTGCGCGGATATGGATTACGCGAATTATCGGGAACGTATATTTCCCGATCGATAGATGGCGGCGTCGATGATTATCATTATAATCGCGAAAACGCAGAGCGCCTCTGCGTTGCAGAGCGCAATGAGGCTGGCGCATTGTTAAATATAATCAACGCCACGGGAAGGGATACCGTGTTTCGAGGAATTCGTTAACGAGCGGATACTGGAATTACGAATCGGATACTGGACTTTTGTGTCACGTTCGCGAATGTTGCAGTGTGTTTGTCTTCTTTGCGACGGAGAGAAAGAATTGTTTCGATCTTATTATTACTTTTTTTAATAATCGCGTTTTCACTCTCTATTTGAAACCGAGTCTTAAATCCAAGAAACTTTAACGAATGCGATTTCTTTGCGATAGAGAGAGATAGAAATAAAAAATTCGTTTATATCTGCAAATGTTTCGATTTTATTATTTTTTTTTTTTAATAATCGCGTTATATGGAATAATTTTCACTCTCTATTTGAAACCGAGTCTAAATTTAAATCCAAGAAACTTTAATGAATGCGATTTGTCTTCTTTGCGATAGAGAGAGATAGAAATAAAAAAGAATTCGTTTATATCTGCAAATGTTTCGATTTTATTATTTTTTTTTTTTTAATAATTGCGTTATATGGAATAATTTTCACTCTCTATTTGAAACGGAGTCTAAATTTAAATCCAAGAAACTTTAATGCGATTTGTCTTCTTTGCGATAGAGAGAGAAAAAAAATTCATTTACATCCGTGCAAATATTTC